AATCCGTCCGACGGGGGACACGTCAAAGGGAAAACAAAATTGTTATTTTTATTTAATTCCGAGAATTTTCATATTTTTATACCTTTTAAACCTTCTCTGGACTTCCACAAATAATTCAAGACCAAAATTAGCCAAATCGGTCAAGCCGTTTTCATGTTATGTCGTGACAACGGAAAACGGGTTTCATTTTTATATATATAGATAACATCCATTAAATAGTGGAGGGACCAATAATAAATTACAGTTTCCGAAGCGAAGCGAAGCGAGGGCGGGTCGCTAGTTGTGTATAAACGAACACTTTAAAATACAATTAAATAAACCGCAATAACTTAAAAACCTTCAATCGCGTTTCCTATCCGTCTTCTGTCGCCCGTCAAATTCGGACATCCCCAGCTTGCCGCACTCACAGCGTTGCGTTTCAACAAATGTATGTCACGAAATACGGGGACCGATGTTTCACGTCATTTCGGATCCTCCCGATCCACTAACGGTGCTTTTAGGTACCTCAAGCACCGGTCATCGTTCTCGTCGAACCCGTCGCTTACGACAAACCGGCAAGTGAATTGAATCACAGACACAGCCCGCTGAGTTTCTCGCCGGATCTTCTCAGTGGGTCGCGTTTCCGATACGGTGGTAGATTCTCCGAAGCACAGCTCTTGCTAGGGTTCGTGTTAGCAACGTCGTCAGGTTTAAGCTCCGTGAGCTCACCTACTGGTTAAGGTTACACTGTCATAGCCTCTCAAGGCAAGAAAGAAAGAAAGAAAGACATCATTTATTCGCTAAGCATAGTGAAAATGAGTTATTACATAAGTTAAAAGCAGCGCGTATGCTTTGTGATTATCTGACATGCAAATTTTAGTGCAGTGCAAAATATCATGATATATAATTTACCTTTCATTCATCCATAATTCAATAAATAATTTAAAAATCCATTTATTTTGAATGTCGTCCCTAAGAAAATCATTTATGTGATAATATTTTCACTAATAACCTACCAGGCTTACCAATAAACTACCAGCTTAAGTAGGAAAAAACGATACTTCAGCGTCATGTTTCGACAGGCTTTATGTATGATTACACTATATTCGTGCTCAGAACAGGATTGGTGCCATATACGCTAGCCAGGGCGACGTTAAAATTGTCATACAAAATACGTCTAATTCGGTTACTTGACTATTACGGGTGTTTCTCGAATATTCCTACGTAATCTATTAGAAAATCTATGCGGTAAAAGCGGGTATGAAGGAGAATAGCTTCACCCAGAAGGATGCCAAAGACCGGGCAAAGTAGAGATGTCTAAGTAGGAAAGCAGACCTTGGCATTAGACCAGAAAAACGCTAGGAAGAAGATGATGAATCTATTACAAAATGTAAATGAGAGCTAACGCTGGTATTCACGGCGCTAAAACAATAAGTAAATTACATACGAACCTACAAATTTGCTTGATTGACAATCATTAAGCTGCAGAGCCAATGAAAGATTAAGTAAACGTGAAAAAAGTATAGCGTTTAGTTGTTATTCGAAGCTACGTTATAGCTAAAGTCGCATGCAGGGTTTTTGGAATTGGGACCTTTTTGAATTTCATCAGCTTTTGTAAACATATTTTTCGTGGAATTGATTAACTAATGAAACGCGATGGAGTCATGTGCGTTTGTGAACGTGCCATTTTAACGTGTGCGAATTCATCACAATATCTATGTAAAATAAAGCGTGAATAATCATTACGAAATACGTAGTGGAAGTGCGTCATGCTCAATGAGATTAGCGTACGTAAGTTCTGACATCGCCACAAAACGGTCAGCACGTTTGATTCCCGAGACACGCACGACACCAAGGGACTCCGTTAATAAATTATAAATTGAATAACAAAACAAATAAATAATAATTTACAAAAACCGTTATAACAAAATACGCTTTTATAGAAAATCCCACTAAAAATATAAAATAAATTTTAATAAATTTGAAATAAAAATAGTGTAAGATTTTTCTTTATATTAAATTCTGATCGGTCCTTAATAAGTATACCAAATTTAGAGTTAATCCGACGTTTTGAAGGGGCCAAAATTATGTTCAAAGATTCCGTTACATACTAACATACATACGTCTGAAGCTAATAAAAGCGTATTAAAAACACAAGATTTATCTTATCTAGTTTATCTTATATGGTATTTATTTTTGAAGTGAAAACTTCTTTAGAATCGTTGTGATTTCAAACCGGATGCAACGGAAAAAACGACAGGTAAGAGACACAAATACAAAAATGTGTAGGATGAAGCCAGCAAAGAATGAGACAGAAATATACATACTATTTAATACAACGCCATCTGTGTGATTTTTTAATACTAACGTGTGTATGAAAGCTCTTGTAGTGAATTTTAATTTAGGATTATACGTGAAATTAAAATATCAATTCACAGAGGGCGCTTACAATTATTTACTAATGACAAAATTTTACATATACTTAAGACGTTTAGGATAGTTGTATTTTAATTTTGGAAGGTTTCACTTCTACCACGTGTGAATTGCACACATTTTGTTTTTTCACATGTGTATTTAAGTATATATACTTAAGTAAGTTTATTAAGATATAGCACCGTCCAGTTAGCTTATTCCTCTCCCTGCAAGGTTGCCTGGAAGAGATCGCCTTCAGGGATAAGGCCGCCGATTTATATGACCGACTTTTGTTTGATTAGTTTACTCTGTACATATTAAGGTGTTAAATAAATAAAGAGTTATATAAGATTTAGTAGACACATTTTGCACAGTTTTTGATATGAAACTTCTTTAGGCGCGTTAAGAGTAAAATTTAACTCGCGACAGATTCGTTACGGCTAGTGAAAAAAGATACAATTTAGGAAGAGCACGAGTGAGAAAATAGACAGAGCGTCTCGCGAGCCACAGGGCACAGCCAAAGGACAAGGTCGTTTCTCTTATATACAGCATTCCCTATTACAAGAGAAATTTGATTTAAGGATGAATAATGAAGAAAACCACAATACTATACACCACAAAAGAAGTTTCACTTCTTTCACGTGCACCAAGTTTTTTTTTAACTTATGTATGAGAAAATAATATGGCTGCTTCGAGCCAGGAATGGACAGGATTATGGACTCAGTGGCCGAAGATGATAGAGGCCTGGCCACTAAGTGACTTCCCCGCATTCTCACCCAACGTTCGATCTCCATACGAGGCAAAACCGGGCAAGGGTTAAAGTTTGTACCGGTCTGCAAGATGCGATCCCAGCTACCCCCTCTCTCTTGTGTTCAGGATGGGGGGTAAACCTATGCTAGATAAATGGTTCGAAATATTCGTAAACTGTTTACAACAAATTTTAGCTCATAAACGCAATTACTCAAACATCATCATCATCATGTTTACATTGTCTATTTTTAGCATGTTTTGATTCTCATAACAAAGAAAATTAGGTTTTATATCGGACGCGACAAGGTTGAATTCGATTTCATACTGTTATCACATTGCGATGGAAGGAATCATGTCATGTTTTTGAACAATGTACACATACAGTATGTGCGTTTTTAGTCTTGTTTCTCACACAGAAGTTACTTGATGTACCTATTTAAAAAATAAGGTGTCATTTGAGCATGAACTATCGGTACGTAGGTAAGGTAAGCCTTTGAGATAATTTTATCGTCACAAATATTCAGCACAGCGTTTCCTTAAAACGCAATCATTCGCTTTCTTTCTCTCTCTCTCTCTCTCTTCTTCAACCCGTGTCGAACCAATACTGAGTGTAGGTCTCTTCACATGCAATCCATTCTCTTCGGTCTCTTACATCTCACATCCAGTCTTTGCCAGCTATTTTGACCAGTTCGTCAGTCCACCGCGTTGGCTGGGTGCCCATAATACGACGTCCGTCCAGTACGAGGTCTCCACTCCAGAACTTTTGCCCCACCGAATAAACACTGAAACAAATTATCGATGCCTTCTTAAGTGATGTTACTGCTTGCTTCTTTTCTAGTGATTCTTGCTAATCATTATTAATTACAAGTTTATTAGGATTTGTTATATTTCAAAGGGCTAATGTTTTGAGAGGTAAGAATCCACGTATTCAAGTATCTTAACGACAACGTCGGAGATCAGATCATTCATTTACCATTTTTACTGAAACCCATATGTATTCGCGAACGACTTCCACGACGAAGGAATAGCATCTTATAAATATTTTGAAGTCGTCATGACCTCAAGGATGCTTAGTGCATTCGTATTCGATGGGCTCCAGTAACCACTTAACACCAAGTGGGTCACAAGCTCGTTCATCCATCTAAGCAATAAAAAATAACAAATATATGTATAGACCGATAATTTCACACTGTTGCCTAACTGCTAGTGGGCCAGTACTGATAGATACCAATGTCCTAACAAATCTTATTTCGAAGCACTAATTCCTATTTGATCGGTGGGACAAATTCACGCTGTTGTATTTCTTAGTTCCTTAAAAACAGTAGGATGTCGGGTTCATGTGACCTCTCACATGGCAGTGCCACTGACAAATGTCGACCCATCAAAATTTTTGACGTGAAGCACAACGAGATGCGGCGACCATTCAACTTATTCTCACCGCAAAGTCACTATTTATCACCTTAAACCCAATTCTGTTGTTATTCTTATGGTGTAATCATTAGTGGGTAGGTCCTCCCGATCCACTAACGATGCTTTTAGGTACCTCAAGCACCGGTCACCTCGACGAGTAAATTAACCCACAGACACAGCCCACTGAGTTTCTCGCCGGATCTTCTCAGTGGGTCGCGTTTCTGATCCGGTGGTAGATTCTGCGAAGCACGGCTCTTGCTAGGGTTCGTGTTAGCCACGTCGTCAAATTTGAGCCCCGTGAGCTCACCTACTAGTTAAGGTTACGCTGAAATAGCCGCTCAAGGCTATCAGCTTAGGTAGGAAAAAAAAGTACGTAGGTGCTATATGACGAGAGAGTAACGGTTTTAACCTTTGGTAAACATATTTTAATATTGAATCTAAATCCTCAGTGAAAGCTGCCGGGGAGCACGATTATGACGATTATGACGTAAATTATGATTATGACTTTCTAAAAGAGGAGCAGAAGAGCCTTCAAGCTGAAATGGACAAACTCTCGGAAATGATTTTAGTAGACGAAGGTAAAGACAAAGATTTGGCAGCAGAGCTAGATAATTATCTGTACGAAGACAATAGAGACCCTGATCAAGAAAATAAAGAAGAAATTGACAGCGATGATGGTTTTGAAGATAACATTGAAACCATTGATTCTGCTGAAGATGCCAAAAATAGTCAACAAGATAACGCAAGAAAAACAGAAGATAAAGATTCTGATGAAACTGTTTTCGATGTCTTAGAACCTGACAGCAAAGAAGAGCCTAAATTACCACCACCAATTGTAGAGGACGAAAAGAAAATATTCCTCGAAGCTCAAGAAATACTAAATGAAGACGAGAAAGAAGTCAATGATTTCGAAGAAGAAAAACCGGACGTGAATTTAGAAGTTAAATCTCAAGAAAATATACAGGATACTATTGATGAAACCAAACGAATTTTAACCGAAGACGGCAGTTTTGAGGATGCTGATCCTAAATCTGAAGATGATGAAACAATTAATGAAGAAAACCTCCGTGATTGGGATAAACTGGACGACCACTTGAAGTTATTGATGGACACTATGGACAAACTGACCGAAAACGATACAAAAGAAGACGATTATGAAGATTACGAACAAATAGACGACAGTAATTTATCTGATATTTTTGCTGACCACATGGAAGACATCGTTGATAGTGGCGAGCGTTTCGACAGTGAGCCCAATGCGGACGATGACCTGAATCCAGCATCAGAGAAATCAAAACCTATAATGTACCAGAACGATGCTCTGGAAGCCGGCGAAAAAGCTGATAGCTCAGAAGTAGAAGTATTCTCTGGATCTACTAAATCGCTACCTACTACTAAATCAGAGGAAATCGTGCAAGTCTCACCAGTCACGTCTAGCACACAGAGAGCAACAACAGAAGAAATCGAAAGACAGACGAAGATGGTCGACGCCTTATCCAGCTCTGAGTTCGACCAAATAATGAAACAATTTTCAATTCTGCACAGCGAAGATTTAGACGTTAAGTCTTCTGGTTTCGCTAGGGACGTTGCACCTATTCACATTAAGCTGAGCATTGACGAGCCCGTAGTGATCACGTCACCGAACTATCCTCGTCCGTATCCAACGAACAATATAATTGATTGGATATTAGAAGGTACTGATGGGATGGGAATCGAATTTAATGTCACTGATTTCGCTGTGAACGGTGCCTTAGGGGACTACGTGCTGGTGAAGCCCGGTAAGTTCGTGTCTTATTAATACCTTGCAATAATACTAGCATTCTACATTTTTCTCTATCGAAGACATATGAGGTTACTTCTCACCTGATGATGGGGTGTCCCTATTGCTATTGACATCAAAGGTCCTGGTCAAACACAAACAATCTGTTCAAGACCAAATTTCAAGAGATAGAGATCATCTCTTTACTCCCGCTTTTAACTCGAATTTCTACTGGTAGGAAGGCGTCTTGACCTTTCTCCCGCTCGAGTAGGTACCACTGCCTTGTCTATTTCTGTGGTGAAGCAGTAACGCTTTTCAGTCTGAAGAGTGGAGCAACCGTTATACTATAAAATTGAGACTTGGAACTCATATCTCAAGGTAGTTGGGGCGCCATTTACTTAGTTGATGTCGATAAGCTCCAGTAGCCCCGTAACTCCAGGTGGGTGTGAGCTCGTCCACCCGTCTAAAAAACTTTACGACTTAGTCTCTCGTCTATTAATTTCATTTCATTTCTTTCGAAGTTTGAATTGCTTTGAACTATGAAATGGACTAGGAAATGACGTTTGGATTGGGTTTTCGAGTTTAGACATACATTCAAGGCAACATTGACTTTTGTAACAAACTATTGCATGTAAGAATCATATTATTTACTGACAAATCATAAATGCTTCTCTCAGGTGGTGTAGATGCCTCCGGAACTGATGGTCTGATCTTCTCCTATCGTCTGACCTCAGAACGCCGGTACCGATTCTCGGACGTGAACAAAATGTTCATTAGATTTGAAGCCAGAGTGGGGATGATGTTCTTAAGAGGATTTAGCTTCAGTGTCAAATTAATGAGTAAGTACGAGTATAATATCTCCGTGATAAACGAGTATGTGGGTCAGTGATTCCCAAAGTGGTCGATAACGGTTTCCCAGGGGTTGATTAAATGGAAAATTAACTTTGGGGATCGACGTAAACTATTCCTACTAATTAACCAAATTTTTATTTGAATCTTCATGGCTAAGCAAACTGTTCTGGTAAAACTGGAAAGATCTCCGGGGCACCAGTAAACCTGTCTCCTTTCTCTTAAAAAGATGATCGTACAAGATGAAAATCTCGGCAAGTCTGTTAAATTTTTAAAGTAATTCGGCAATGGTGGTCTGAAGTATCAGTTCATTTTGCAAAATGGGACTATAGTCCAAATTGGGTTTGGGAATCTCTGATGTAGATGGTAATATTCTCATTGCTAAGCTGAGCGATTCCCTCTGGACATCTATACTAGTTGATTTGAAAGAGTGCTAGTTAATGTGACCCTACATTGAAGTCACGATGATTTACTGGTGGTAGGACCTCTTGTGAGCCCGCACGGGTAGGTACCACCGCCCCTCCTATTTCTGCCGTGAAGCAGTAATGCGTTTCGGTTTGAAGGGCGGGGCAGCCGTTGTAACTATACTGAGACCTTAGAACTTATATCTCAAGGTGGGTGGCGCATTTACGTTGTAGATGTCTATGGGCTCCAGTAACCACTTAACACCAGATGGGCTGAGAGCTCGTTTTTTTTTATTTATTTCCTAGACGTGTGGACGAGCTCACAGCCCACCTCAATAAAAACTGAATAAACTTCCTGAATAAACTTCGTCCACGCAATAAAAAAAACCAAGAATTTCATCCCTTACAGCGCCCTTACGACGTGCTGGCGACCAAGAAGATCCTGAATCTGAAGCAGTCCTAGCTCCTCCTGCCGCAACCCTGAAGGTCTTCCTGGCCGTGTCTCCTGCGCAGTTCCTGAAAATAAAAGACGACTTCAGGGAGTTGGTCGCTGACATGTCAACGTCTTACATCAAGGACAATAACATCGATCCTGGATTAAATAGCACGTGAGTATTCGTGAATTTTCTCCTCCAAGATGAGCTCCAGCTTGAATACAGTGGTGCTGGTAAATCGTGACGTCATCAGCGGTAACGCAATGAAATGAGAAATACAATGTACTACAATCAAAATGAGGTGACGTGTGAGAGGATGTGAGAGGCTTCCGTCAGCTACTTCTTAATACGCTTTTATTAGCTTCAGACGTATGTATGTTAGTATGTAACGGAATCTTTGAACATGATTTTGGCACCCTTCAAAACGTCGGGTTAACTCGAAATTGGGTATACTTATTAAGGACCGATGACAATTCAATATTTAAAAAAAATATTGAAATTCAACTAAAAAATTAAAAATAAATAATAGTTTAAAAAAACTAAAAAAATCACTTTTATAGAAAATCCAACTAAAAAATAGAAAATAAATTTGAATAACTTTGAATTAAAAAAAAGTGTAAGAAAAAATGATTTTATTGTAAAGAAAGCGTGGGGTGCACGGTATCACTAGTTATAAATATTTTATGAACAGATATGAGTAGAAGGATTATCTTGATAATATCCTGAACAGCACCCCACGCTTTTATATTTTATTAGTTTTTTTAAACTATTATTTCTTTTGTCTATTGTGGACACCTGAAATAAATGTACTGATGAATACTGACTGCTACACCTTCAGAAAGAAAGAAAAGAAGTGATCTGAATTTTTGTTTGTATTCATACAATAGAAAAACATCATGTGTTGAAAAAGAATCGTTGTCAAATTTATACACATCGCTTTTTTATTATTTTATTGCATAGATAGGTGGACGAGCTTACAGCCCACCTGGTGTTAAGTGCTTGCCGGAGCCCATAGACATTCACAACGTAAATGTCGCCACCCATCTTGAGATATGAGTTCTAAGGTCTCAGTATAGTTACAACGCCTGCCCCACCCTTCAAACCGAAACGCAACACTGCTTCACGGCGGAATTAAGAGGACATATCACCAGCTTTTTGAAAATTAGACAAAACAGAGCTTTTATAGACAAAATAGAGCTTTTAGACAAATATGTAATATGCTAGTTATAAACAGATTCCTCCCTTCTTAATACTCTCCATCAAGACTAATTTGCATCTTACGTATTTAATGTAGAACAAAAAAGATGTGTAGTGTCGTGGGACACCGGATAGGAACGAAGTTCCCAATTATAAAAATATTAATTTAAAGTTCTATTCGAGGTATGAAGAAAGAGAGAGAGAGAGACAGACAGACAGACAGAGAAACATGCGACGCCGCACAGCTTACAATAGCTTACTATAGCAAAAAGTGTCGTGACAACTTTTCGTAAGAATTTATAGCAAAAAGTGTCGTGGCAACTTTTCGTAAGAATTTTTTCCGTCTAGCCCCCTTTCACAACGCGCGATAAGGAACTTCGTTCCAACAATATTTTATAGAATTGCCTCGGATATCACCGCAACGAATACGATTATAATCAATGAATCATAAAACCAAAAGCGTATATAACAAAACATCTTGAACGTAATCTCTAATAAATGGAATGCTCAGATAAAAATACATGTCATTTAGTTTTTAATGGAAATTACGTGTCTTTTATGTTTTCAATGACTTTATTAATGTCATATCGCAATCATCGGTTGACTTATTCTGATTTAGCTTTTTACTGTACTGTAGTTGAGAATGGATCAAATTTTTTTATTTCTTCAATGGATGAATTAAAGATGAAAATAACAATCCATGTGCTCTTAAGTGGTTACAGAATTCCTTAAACACCACAACGTAAATGTCATCGTCATTCTTGAACAATAAGGTCGAAATCTCTCTGTATCAAACGACCGCGTCGCGAAATAAGTTAGGCGGTGGTTCCTATGCGCGCTCACAATACCTCCAACCAGAGGTGATTCCGCTAATTTATAATTTCGTGCAGATTTGAATCTGGGCATAGGTGGAAACGAAGACATAGGACGTCTTAAAGGAAGTCATGACGGCTTCAATACGGTTCGACAAAGGATCGGATGAATCGATTCTGTAAATCGGAAATTTAATTCCGCAGTCAATTACATGATACGACTCGCGAAGCTATCAGAAATAACATAACAATTTATTTTCGTTACGAGCCAGTGAGTGGTATCTATGTGAAACGCATTTAGTACTTTAATTGTACTTTTAAGATATTGCATAGCTTCTATCGCGGGCCTTGAGCGCGGCGACTGAATCAAGAAATTCCGTAACGAAAATAACCTGACACCCCCACTACGCCTACTATGTAGCTCGCGTTCAACACATTCACACGTTGCGCTGGTGTAGTGTTTGTGAATAAGCGCGCGGCGTGACGTCGCACTGCATGAGCATCATGAAAAGTCTGCCCATCTCNGGCCTTGAGCGCGGCGACTGAATCAAGAAATTCCGTAACGAAAATAACCTGACACCCCCACTACGCCTACTATGTAGCTCGCGTTCAACACATTCACACGTTGCGCTGGTGTAGTGTTTGTGAATAAGCGCGCGGCGTGACGTCGCACTGCATGAGCATCATGAAAAGTCTGCCCATCTCTCTCTCACGCGGTCTAGCTTATGAGTAAGAAGGGGACAGTTAATGTTTTGCTTTTGTTAATGTTTATAAATATAGCGTGGTCTTATTTATATTATTGTTTTAATATTGAATTATTATTGTCTAATTGTAATTGCATAAGTTGATAAAAAATACTTTGCAATAGCTTTACCGCGGCAGTCCCCGAGTGCCACACGTCTTTTTTATTTTGATCTGTTATGGGTTTCCAGCATCTAAACACAAGAAACCAGTCTAGGTTGAAGCTTTTGAATCTACTGAAATGAATTTTCCGGTGGTAGGACCTCTTGTGAGTCCGCACGGATAGGTATTACCACCCTGCCTATTTCTGCCGTGAAGCAGTAATGCGTTTCGGTTTGAAGGGTAAGGCAGCCGTTGTAACTATACTGAGACCTTAGAACTTATATCTCAAGATGTGTGGCGCATTTACGTTGTAGATGTCTATGGGCTCCAGTAACCACTTAACGCCAGGTGGACTGTGAGCTCGTCCACTCATCTAAGCAATAAAAAAAAAGAAAATCTTATAACTTTGTTTTAGCGTAATGTTAATAACGCGTTATGTGTGCTTAGTGCGAGTTTTTTTAACTTCTCGATCACATAAAAGTTTTTTTTTTTTTTTTTAATTTGTTCTATACAGTAAGCTGTCGTAAGACATTCAACCGTAGTTTTGATAAAAACAATTCCGGCGGTGCATGCACAATGTCCATTAACATGTCCATATCAATTAATCTACTTAATCTACAGTAGATCTAGTAGATCTTGAGGCACTCTTCTTCTGAGTCTTCTTGTAGTCATTTGGTTGTCCATTAAATGCTTAGCAAGGTTATTCGGATGGGCTTCCAATCTTACACAATATGCTTTAGCTCAATGGATTACTTCATCTTTGACTTTTCTTATGGCAAGATCATAATGGATTCTTTCATTTGTAACATACCATGGTGCGTTCACTATCATCCTGAGCGTTTTTGATTGAAATCTTTGAAGGATTTCAATATTTGAGTTTGACGCAGTACATAAAAGTTAACTAAAATTTGTATGCATTTGGAACAGCGCAAAATCAAAAATAATTCGGATGTCTTTAAAGAATCAATTAAAAAAAACCGCGCCACGTAAATTTGTCGAAACTCTTATCAACGCAATTAACAAAGAAACAAATAGTTTGTAAATACCAAATTTTAATTACGACATAATTATTTATTACTAACGAAACGTTCTAAACAAAATTTTTTTTTGATTACAAAACTCTATATTGATTACGGAACGCGTCAAACGTGAATACGTGTTTTTCGGCAAATACATTAATTGTGAATTTGGTTTTTTTTTCTTATCAATACGGATAATTTATCACAAAGTTAACGATAATTAACTATTAGTGATGACACAAGATAATTATTTGAGTTAATAAAATGCTGTGTACAATAGTTTTGGATGAGTTTCGATGATGAAACTATAGACTGGATTTTACACGCTACTGTCGTTTTACTTGGCATTTGAGGTTTTTCTTTATGTACATATTAGCTTTTGCCCGCGACTTCGTCCGCGTGGGATTATTACTTTGGCATAACCCTAAATTTTACCCGCCACTTCATTTACTTAGAAAGTGATTTTTTTTAATAATATCTAGCTAGCTGTAGCTAGCTTTTTTTTATTGCCTAGATGTGTGGACGAGCTCACAGCCCACCTGGTGTTAAGTGGTAACTGGAACCCAGAGACATCTACAACGTAAATGCGCCACACACCTTGAGATATAAGTTCTAAGGTCTCAGTATAGTTACAACGGCTGCCCCACCCTTCAAACCGAAACGCATTACTGCTTCACGGCAGAAATAGGCGGGGCGGTGGTACCCACCTGCGCGGACTCACAAGAGGTCCTACCACCAGTAAAAAATAGCTAATAGCTAAGTAGCTATAGCTTGTCTATTTATACCGGCACAGCCGTAGTACAAATTATGATTTCGGTGCTTGTGTCAAGGTGGGTGACGCATTCCAGCTATAATACCCGACAAACGACCAACTCTGGGCCTAGCAGCGACCGTCACTACGGAGAAATATAAAACAAATTTAATTGCTGAGTTTCCTTCCCGCTTTATCCAATTAATTCTGAAAACAAATGGACAATTCATTACTTCTATCTTTCAAGAAAACCAGAGTTTTGTAGGTCAAACGCGCATGCGCACTGCGCTTTTACGTACACGCGCGCGGCACACGTCAATTCTATTTTAGTGAGACTCCGCGTTTGTGTTGGACCAAATAAACGAAGAGTCGCACGCTCTTAATAAAATTGTACTATCGTAATACTCCTCAATAATCGGAAACCGATATAAATATGTGGCGAGTGATGTGACGCGATCGATAATTGAACGAAATGCGGCAATGCGTCATTAGATCAACGCAGGACCAGTGAAATCGAAACATGGAGCCCCTCATCGATAGGAACAACTTCGCGATCAGCGCGATGGTGACCGTCGCAATGCAGATCCTGTTCTTCACCGTCGCGTCCCTACTGCAGAACGACAAGGTCACTGATTTCACTGGAGGTGCTAATTTTATCATTATCGCCTTGTTGACATTCTTTCTCGGTCAAGGAGGGAGCACTATGAAGAGTTACGACAGCAGGCAGCTGATGGTGACGGCCTTTGTGTGCCTCTGGGGCGTCAGATTGTCAGGGTACTTGATTTATAGGATCTATCACATTGGAAGAGATAAACAGTTCGAAGATAGAAAAAGTAACACCCTGAGATTCGCTGTGTTTTATACCTTCCAAGCACTGTGGGTGTATGTGGTCAGTTTACCTGTGATCATAACAAATTCTGCCCATCATTCTTTTCCTAAAGCGCCCAAAACCATGACAACCTTGGACTCGGCCGGTGCAGGTATCTTCGTCATAGGATTGCTAATAGAAACCTATGCAGATCTCCAAAAGTTTGCCTTCAGACAGGAGCCAAGAAATCAAGGAAAATGGTGCAACGACGGTTTGTGGGGCTTGTCAAGACACCCCAACTACTTCGGCGAAGTAGTCTTGTGGTGGGGAATATTTATCATATCTTTAAACGTGATAGAAGGCGTGGAATGGATTTCAATATTATCACCTTTATTTACGACTTTGATTATATTGTTTTTATCTGGTATACCGTTGCTCGAACGATCGGCGGACGAGAAATACAGAGATAACCCCGATTATTTGTATTACAAGGCATCGACGTCGCCTTTGATTCCAATACCACCAGCGATATACGTGGAAGTGCCCAAGTTCCTCAAGTGCATTCTATGCTGCGAGTTTCCTATCTACGACTCGACCGGAGACGAATACCCAGCTCCGACGATAGTGACAGAAACGACCAGTATTTCCATGGTCCAAACACAGACCTAGCTAAAGAACGCCGCGCGCGATGACGCGGCGCACGGCGACGGCAAGGACCCGTCGCAGAGACCCTTGTGATACGAGGAACGATCGCTCAAGTTGCCGAACTCGCTGCCACTCAAGAAAAACAACACCATCGAAATGAACCAATACAACACTTACATGGAGAACTTGAAGAAAAGTAAACGAATAGCTATGGGTCTGATCGATAATACTAAAGATGTTATGGACGAAATCCGATTAGCCAGCCCGAATAGTTACGAGAACTCTCCCACGACGAGCGACGGGAGACGTCAGCAAGAAATAATCAAATATAAAAACATAACATTCAATACCACAGCGATACTACATCACTATCCGCAAATGAAGTCCCCGGTCAAAAAGTCTGATCATAAATTGCCAATCGATGTAATCAGGGTTGAAAATAATAATTCGAATAATGAAAAAGTTGCCAAAAATGATAATTTTAATAATAATAATAAAAAGATTGATGAACTGGACCGAATAGAGATACTAAATGAAAAATTCACCGAAGAGAAATTAGTGTGACGAATGAGTGCTTCGGCTTGAGGTCTGCTGACTTTGAACTATTTTGAATAAATTATCAAACATATCGTTAAAATGTAGCTAATAAAAGACTGCTTGTAATAATTGTAGATATTCATCTAATATGTGTAATAATTCATATTACGTGTGAGTGTTTTGTATTACTGATAAAAGAAAAGCCGTCTTGAAAATAAAGTGAATTAGTAAGATTTAGAATATTGAAGCTGTCATTAGAGATTAAGGTAAGTTTTATTTTGAAAATTCATTAATCAATGAACGATAACAGTCTTTGGCAAAAAGACAAATACATACTTCTAGTTTATCAATTTGATATCTGTCTTCTTTCTTATAGCTGTTATCCTTAGCTACCTTATTTGTTATTACAATTTTATTTATTAACAATTTAGTGTGGCATTGCGGCATCACCACTGCGTTGAACGAATACTGATTAATTGTCAGGTCACCAATTGTGTACCAGTGCCACCACTATGCCTATTTTTGCCGCGAAGCAGTAATGCATTTAGGTTTCTGAGGGTATATCAACGGAAGGAATATCTTCCACCGAGCGGGTGGAAATTAGCTCGGTAGACCNACAATTTTATTTATTAACAATTTAGTGTGGCATTGCGGCATCACCACTGCGTTGAACGAATACTGATTAATTGTCAGGTCACCAATTGTGTACCAGTGCCACCACTATGCCTATTTTTGCCGCGAAGCAGTAATGCATTTAGGTTTCTGAGGGTATATCAACGGAAGGAATATCTTCCACCGAGCGGGTGGAAATTAGCTCGGTAGACCGACTGTACAGATGTTGTGGTTCGGAACTTGTATATATGCAAGCTTATGTTGAAAATGTTGTAAGCCGGATTCAGGCATCTGTCAAATATTTTGTGTTCTGTGATGGCTACCGCCACATGTTTGACAGATGATAATATAATTATTGCCTCAAGGTGGGTATCGATATTCACGTAGTGATACCTTTCCCCCTACCTATTCACTGGTAGCCTAAGAGGCTGTTCCATTTACGACCAGCTATCTTACTAGTGGTAGGACCTCTTGTGAGTCCGCACGGGTAGGTACCACCACCCTGCCTATTTCTGTCGTGAAGCAGTAATGCGTTTCGGTTTGAAGGGCGGGGCAGCCGTTGTAACTATCGAAGACTTTAGAACTTATATCTCAAGGTGGGTGGCACATTTACGTTGAAGATGTCTATGGACTTCAGTAACTACCTAAAACCAGGTGGGCTGTGAGCTCGTCCATCCATTTAAGCAATAAAAAACATAATAAAAACGTGCTAACAGGTAAGTGAACTCACGGGCTCAACCTGAGAGAATTTACTGAAATCAGGCCTAGCGAGGGTAGGGCTTCGTAGAATCTACCGACTCAGCAATAATATATACATGTAACTTTTTTTTTATTGCCCTTATAGGCAGACGAGCATACGGCCCACCTGATGGTGAGTGGTTACCGTCGCCCATTTCAGCAATGCCAGGGGCAGAGCCAAGCCGCTGCCTACCTGTACGTACATACGTACGTAAATACCAAAGAATCCATATTTACTGTCAAAAATGAATTCATTCAGCCTACGTGATCGCACGTGTCACTCTCGAACCGTCTACCCAGATGTAAAATATTAAAGACACATTTTAACTCTGACCTTGGAAGTTTAATAAACAAAGGATTTACATGTCAAATGTTAATATTTATTTACTTATTTTCAACAATCTAGAGCAACGTATTAAATTTAAAATCTGCACTAATATGCAAATGTGAAAGCTTGGATGTTTCTTTCTCAATCACACAAAAATGGCTGCGTGGATTAGAATGAAATTTCGCACAGAAAAAGCTCTTAATCTGCAGTAGCACATGGGTCAATTGTGGTAAAAACATCACAGTTAAACGCCTAGTTTATCTGATACAATTAATTCTTAGTATAATCACTAATCTATATAGCTATGTACTAAATCTATGACGGTTAGCGTGGTATAGACATGTGATGCACAGAGAGAAGATGCATGTGACTAAGAGATGTATGGAAATGGTAGTGCAAGGTAGAGGGGGAAGAGGTCGACCGAAGAAAACATGGATGGAGTGTGTGAGTGACGATATGAGAAAGAGAGGAGTGAGTGTTGAGATGACGGCTGATAGAAGTGAATAGAAGAGAAAAATTAACTGTACCGACCCCACCTAGTGAGATAAGGTGGAAAAAAAGAAGATGAATCACTAATCTATGTACCAGGGAGTGATACTCGTACTAGTAACTTTATATACCGGGAAATTTTACCATATTTCATTGGGTAGACTGCTACCCAGTGAAATATGGTGAAGTTTGTTCGATTTGAAGGGTGGGGCAACCGTAATACAATTCTTGAGACTTCGATCTCGGGTTGCAAAGTCGTAGATGGTGTTTGAGACGTCTATAGATTCTTCTAGTCACCACTGAATAACATATAAGTCATGTCTGTCATATATTAATACGTGAAGCAAAAACTTTGTACCCCTTTTTACGAAAATTGCGCCGTCGAAGGATTATAAAATTTTTCACACTTATAGAGAATATAGAGAAGGGGGGAATGCTATTTTTTATTATGCATAAAAAATACATTAAATCAATAAAATAAATATTGCAAACACTACTATATATTTGACACACACTCATATAAATACTCTTTTGTTTATCGTTAAAGTCTGTGTTAATATTATTTGTCTATAGTGTAGTCTTGGCGAAATCTGTGATTAAAGAAGTATAATCGTCTTTGACAATATAACCATAATAATGTTCAAACTTATAATTATAGTCGAGTTTCGACTACTGAGGGACCACTAGTAAATATAATAATTGGAGATTAATGTATAGTTTCCCTAGTTTGTATAATTTGGATTAGGAATTGGTTTTTAATATTCCAAGTATACGTTCCAGGTTTGAGACAACGCAGTTGACTGGACAGTCTGTCTGTAATATCCACTGGCCCGGCTTCGACTCTTGTGTCGAAGTAACCTTCGGGGTGCCTTTACAGTACAAAGACTCTGAAGAATATAGACTCAACGCGGAGGACCTGATCGCCATGTGGTCGGAGTACACGCTGAAGCAACCCTACGCTTCAAGACTCAAAGAAATGGGCATTACTGTAAGTGTTACGGTTTTGAAGACTGAACTAAATAGTTTTCGAATCCCGCAGGCGGATACCAATTTGTATAATGAAATACGTACTTACCAAATGTTTACGATTGACTTGCACGGTGAAGGAAAAAAAATTGTAATAAAAATCAAATGCGCAAAATTATAATATGCGTAATTACTGGTGGTAGGACCTCTTGTGAGTCCAGCACCCTGCCTATTTCGGCTGTGAAGTAGTAATGCGATTCGGTTTGAAGGATGGGGCAGCCGTTGTAGCTACACTGAGACTTTAGAGCCCATATTTCGAGGTGGGTGGCGGCATTTACGTTGTAGATGTCTATGGGCTCCGGTAACCATTTAACACCAGGTGTGCTGTGATTTCGTCCACCAATCTAAGCAATAAAAAATAATTAAAGAGTGATCACTTAAAAAAATTATCGTTAAAATTTCAGGAATTCTCCATCCCCGATGATGATTCAATTCTAATGCTGTGGCTGGTCATCGCGGCCGGTGTGGTGATCGCAGTGGCATTGTTAGCATTTGTACTGTGGAGGTTCAGCTGCTTTGAAGACTACACCAGGTAAGTCGATAGAATCAATTCTACGTCTAGTCAAAGATCCTAAGCTCCACTGTCTTTTACGGCTTAATCTTACATTTTATATTGTGAATATAGTAATAGTTCACTGTGTGTAAAATTAAAGCTAAAGATAAAGATAAAGAGATCTATCTATACTAATATATAAATCTACAGTGGTTTTTACGGATGTTCCGTTATAACTACTGAACCATGCATCCGATTGACTTGAAACTTGGTATCTATGTAGAAAATATATGTACTTAATGGATAGGTTAATATATATATGAGTGCTGGACTCCCTAATAATAATGATAGTAAATAGTAATGTTAATTTTAAATGCCCAGCGAAGCGGGCGAGTACCTATGGCTAGTACATTATAAATAGATAATTGTAAATAGGCATACTTTAACAAAAACTGATTTCAAATAGAAAAATATATATATATTTCAAAACAAATTAATATATACTAAAAACAATAATCATCGAAATCGGTTGGCGTGATATTGAGTTATTGAGTTATTTATCTATTTGTCGCGCATGTACTTAATGCAAATTTAAGACTAAATGGTTTTCTCATGGATACCATTATCAGAACTGGACTAAATTGAAATGGGACCACACGGAAAGTGTCAACTTTCTAATAAAAAAAAGAATCATCAAAATAGATTCACCCAGTTAAAGATTATGAGGTAACGAACACAAAAAAAACATACACTCGAATTGAGAACCTCCTTCTTTTTTGAAGTCGGTTAAAAAAGTGAGCCTTAGTTTTCACAATATTCAAGTACCAACGCGAAACGACTCAGTCTACCGCGACCACGGAAACTAAAGTATTCGAAACGCTGTAAATAATATTATAACAATAAAAAAACGTGAGATTAAATCATAAAAGTGGTTATAATTATGTCTGAAATTCGCGAAAATCGAAGGAAATAATGTATATACATACAGTATGTACATATATACAAGCCTGTCTTAATGTTTAAAGCGCGAGTCAGGATTTTGCTAAACCACCTCCATTCCATGATCGTTGCCGCTACATGAACAACTCTCCACGGTTTCAGGATGAAGACGTACAGCGATACAGACAGTCTGAAGAGCGGCAAACGCGACCTCGACCTGTACCCGACTCCGCATCAGACCCTGCCTCCGCTCTACACGGAAAACGACTATAAGTGGCCCGACGTCAAATACGACAACACAGCCACCGGTGAGAGATTTATTTTCTATTCTATTCTATCAGCACAAACGTCCACTGCTGGTCATAGGCCTTCCCCAAGCCTCGCCACAAATAGGTCGTCGGTCCATCTTGTGGGAGGCCCACGCTACGTCTTCCGGTACGCGGTCGCCACTCAAGAACTTTCTGGTCCCAACGGCCACCCGCTCTACGAGCAATGGGCAGGGTCCACTGCCACTTCAACGTCGCAATCCTTTGGGCTATGTCGGTTACCATGGTTTTCCTGCAAATCTCCTCATTTCTGATTTGATCTCGTATAATGAAGATTAAGCAAACTTATTATTTACGTATGTGAGAACAAACTCAACGACAAACTATTTTGGGCGAAGCTACAACTGGGAGGTACATACTCGCGCAGAGTCATAATTACAAGCCTTTATGACGATAGGAATTAGAAGAGTGTGCAAGTGTGGATTTAGTATTTCTTTTTTATTGCTTAGATGGGTGGACGAGATCACAGCCCGCCTGGTGTTAAGTGATTACTGGAGCCCATAGACATCTACAACGTAAATGCGCCACCTACCTTGAGATATAAGTTCTAAGGTCTCAGTATAGTTACAACGGCTGCCCCACCCTTCAAACCCAAACCCATTACTGCTTCACGGCAGAAATAGGCAGGGTGGTGGTACCTACCCGTGCGGACTCACAAGAGGTCCTACCACCAGTCCAAGGGTACAGCTAGTATTATTATATTGTCACATCAAGAGCTAAAGTGATCGTTTTTCAATTTCCAGTGAACATGGGAGGGTTTGCGAACAGGAACTACTTGCAGGATGACATCTACGACTTCGACTCCGACGAGGAGGTCACCAACAAACGTGACAGGTGATTGCAACTTATTGTGTTATATGCAAACATACAAATATAGTTGGAGTCATCATGGTCTAAAGCAGCCTTTCCCAAAGTGGTGCCATAACGCCCCCTTGTGGGCGCCCCACGCCTAAAGGGGGGCGGTAAGAGACCCGGAAAAAAAAGGGGGCGTTTCGTAGAGGCTTGGGAGGCGATTTATAATTTCATCTAGGATGACTTTTAGACACCGATTAAGCTCTCGCTATAGTTGTTTTTAATAAGGTGACAAAAATGGGGGCGCTAAAAATAATTTATTCCCAAAGTGGGCAGTAGACAAAATAAGTTTGGGAGCCCCTGGCAATGGCGGATCCAGGGAGGGGGTCATGGGGGTCATGACCATCCCCTGAGCTGGTTCCAGGACTTAGGTGGACCACTAATTGAATATAATGATTTTATTTATATATTTTGTAACCATACAGATTTTATGTAACTACATACCTTCAATATTTAATTTAATATAATATAATAACTTTGTATAATGGCAAACGTCTGGGAACGAACGCATCTAAATTTGACTATGTGACCCCCTCCTAGCGCCAAAGCTGGATCCGCCCTTGGCATCTGGTCTAAAGGATAAGGCGACTTGCGCATTCGTATCAAGCGACGCGATTGCTCGCTCATTGACCGTCACTGATATTGTCCAGGAAAACTGCGTTTCAAGTCAAAATAATACATTTGCTTCGGAAATATCATACGTGTCTCTACACAATTCATATTATTACTACTGTTATTACTAAAATTTTAAATTTACTTTAAAAAACAAATGTTTGTGAATACTTTGTGTCGCCTCCTTGAGGTATTGGCCTTGCGATTATAATATAGATCATATTTTTAAAGAAATCTCATCCTAAACTCTTCGCATTAGAACATGTTACACGTTGTAACGATCAATCTGTAAATAACTACATAACACTAACACTTTTTGTTCACGTATTAATGGAATATCTTTTGTAATAAACTAGTTTCATTCCTGTGCTAACATATCTTGCCATAAAATAACCTCAAATTTCACATTTAAACGCAATTCAATAAAGAGATTAAATTCTAAAACTCCATTTTGAATGGTAGGTATTGAAAAATCTGTTTAATAATGATTGCAGATTCACGACCGACGTGTAAGCGCTGACTTAAGACGAATCGTAACAATATGGTACAGTCGCAGACTAACTTATTTCTATGTGTGTGTACGTCGCTTTTCTAACTCAAGGATTCGAAATCATTCATCAACTTGGAATCAACAATCATATTTCTCGTAACACTCTTGTTGAATGAACTCTTTTTTTTGGAACGCGATGCGGATGGGTACCCTAACCGGGAAAAACGTCCGTAACGTAAGATTTTTATTAGTAATGCACGCAGTGTACGATTTAACTTTGTAATAACGTACAAATTAGTAATGCACACAGTGTACTTAACTTTGTAATAACGTACAAAAAATAACATATTTTTTTATCATTCATTATCCACGATCTCAGAGCGTTCGTTTGCGCAATACACTGACACTTCTGCAAACAACCGTGAATGAAGTGTACCACAATAAGTTCGCACGTTACCGAATGACCGTGGGTTGTTGCGAAACCTCCAGTTTTATTTTCTATATACCTCGAATAGAACTTAAAATTAATATTTTTATAATAAGGAACTTCGTTCCTATCCGGTGACCCACGACACCACACATCTTTTCCTACCTATGCTGATAGCCCTAAGAGGCTATTTCAGCTTCTCCCTAACATGTAGGTGAGCTCACGGGGCTCAAACCGGACTGTTGCTAACACTGGCAGTAGCAAGAGCCGTGCTTCGCAGAATCTACCACCGGATCGGAAACGCGACCCACTGAGAAGATCCGGCGAGAAACTCAGTGGGGTCACCAACAGCGGTACTAACTTATACCATAGTTAGATTCGCGAACGCATAGAGAACAAACAAACAATATTATTATCAACATAGATATATACATAATAAAACGCATATTATTATTTCTTTTCAGATACTGTGTGGTGGGATCAAAGGATGGCTACAGTAATGTCTAGAAGTATATTATAACCAAATAAAACTATTAATAAAAGAATGTAATTTACAAAATAAATATCATCAGAACAAATAATTTAAGATTATATTACTGCTCAATACTTGATTCGTAGTTAGATTCGGAGCATATCAATATGTGTAGGTATATCTATTTTATATATTAAATATAGCAATATTAAATAAGGGGTTTTGACCTTGCCAAAGGTAAAGCAAGCTAAGAGTGATCACGAGCGACCACGGTTATTGACTAACGATGGCCTCAATTATCACATCTATCATGAGACGTGAGGTCGATATTCTAAGAATTTGAGACATGGAATTTCTGTTCCCTTGTGCTTTGTATGGGCAAGGTGGAAAGAAGGCCACAGCCGATCATGTAGCTGCTGGTGTGACCAGATAACCACCCTAACTGGTCTACCAGTCGCAACCGCCCCACGTGAAGTTGAGGACCGGACGAGGTGGAAACAGCTCACGAGAGGCCAAGGTCAATTCAAGGATACGACCTTCAGTAATGAAGAAAGCGACGAAGAAGATGCTTTGTCTGAAGCAGGATTGTGGTACTATCCTGAGTAGGATCATGTTCACATTTAAAAAAAATATTAGTAATGTACCGGGTGTGTCTTGAATTTATCCAATAAATTCTAATGTTATTTCGCCTCCTGTAAATAATTCTGCGAGGTTAAATTGAAAAAAGTTTTTAAATAATCATAATACCGTTGCTAAATTACATTGAAATGCGTAATGTAGATATGTATTATCTTAATTTAACTTCCATGATAGATTATCGTATGCATTTTATATAAAGGTACTATTGTAGTAGTTAGATAGTGTATCATGTACAAATTAATTATTATATTACTCGTATATTCTATGTAAACTATACTATAGTACATATCTAGTAAATTGACAGTCAGTTGAATTATTGTGTGACTAGCGTTTAGCTGCGGTGATAAAAATTACATGTAAAATATTCCTTTACTGTATTGTTTTTTTTTTTAAATAAAATAAATATATTTTTTATGAAAGAAAAATGTGTTTGTGTATCAATTTCGCCCGATATGATGTACTGATCTGGTTTCAATGGAGATAATGCAGCAGAACCGAGATGAGGTCCTCAAGAGAACGCAGCGCCATCGGCGATGTTTGGCGTGATTCGTGGATGACAGATGTAATCATGAGAACCAATGAGTGGACCGCTGGTAGGATCTCTTGGGAGTCCGCACGGGTAGTACCACCCTGGCCATTTCTGCCGTGAAGCAGTAATGCATTTTGGTTTGAAGGGTAGGACAGCCGGTTGACTATAAAACTGAGACTTTAGAACTCATATCTCAAGGTAGGTGGCGGCATTTACGTTGTAGATGTCTATGGGGAACTTCAACCACATAACACTAGGTAGAGCGTGAACTCGTCCACCAATCTAAGCAATAAAAAAATACAGGTAGCTTCGGTCTGTCACAGAAAGCATCAATGAAATCAGCACCTAGTTAGATGAATATAAATGATGAGGTGATTTGCAGACTCTGTATCCTGAAGGTGGATACCATCATCACATATGTTACATACTTTGTGAGCGTGACGCATAGCGAGGACAATAACCAACATCCGGGGTCATGGTTTCTAAAATGTCTATGGGCTTATTTCCAAACGCAATTACAAGATTTGCACTAGCAGAGATGAGGGATCGTGTGGACAGGGAAATGCAATAAATGATCTCAATAATTGAAGTGTTGGGCTCAGCCACAACACTTTTGTTGTATTTAGTTTTGAAACCTCTATCTATCCTCTCTTCTCTGCTCTCAAATATTAAACATCTAATAAATCTAAGATAAAATAAGAAAGACAGGATGTTAAGGGTAATTAAGCCACTTGTTTTTTAATTACCTTACCTATTCCCTGGTAGACTAAGGGGATATTAGTTACGCCCGGGCGGGTAGGGTACGGAGTTCAACCTAGCTAGGACAGTGATTCGCAGAATCTACTACTGGATTGGAATCGCAACCCACTGAGAAGATCCCGTAAGAAACTCAGTGGGCTGCGTCTAAGGACCTCTTGTGCATATTGTGTACCCGTATTTACTTTAAATACAGTTTATGATAATTTACGAATTTGGCAAATGCTATTTAGATCTTAGAAGATCCACATTCTCAATCGTGTTCGCTTGTTCCTTTCAGTTAGTCTGTGTCATATGTTTCATAAGTGTCCGTCTTATTGTATTGCTCACCTTACAAGCCGGAGAGAGAGATCACGACTGCTTCGCAGCAGAAAGGTTCAGATTAGTCGAGTCTACCGGTGCGGGTTTATATTAAGATCTACCTATGAATACTAAACGCACAAGGAAACCAATTCGAAGCCTGTAAGCCGCAGGAATGACGTATGCCTTTTATTTTAACGTAACTTCATCAAAGTAATCCCACTTTAAGATTCGTATAAATCAAAAGAAAATACATGAAAATTTTGATAAAACCTTAAACAAACCGCGTCGTTGTGTAAGAAGGATAATGCGTCATTTAGATACGGTCGGCTAATATGAAATTCGTGCGTTCCGCAGTCACTTGCAATAAAGTACACTATTCTTTAATCTTAGACATTTATCACTATTCCTGTTTGACTTAATGTATATGAATATTTAAATTTTTTTGTTTTAATTAATTCAAAAAACACTTTCTTCACTTTCTAAAAACAATTTCTTAGGCGGTGCATGCACAATGTGCAAATTAATCTACAGTAGCATCTAGCAAATCCTGGGCAGCACTAGCTTGGTAATGATGGTTGTTGTGGCGATATTCAATTTGTAAAGTTTATGGGATCCGATTATCAGCTTTCATAATTTATTTACGACTAGCGACCCGCCCTCGCTTCGCTTCGGAAACTGTCATTTATTATTGATTTCTCCACTATTTAATGAATGTTATTATACATATCATTTTATTTTATTTTATTATTTATTTATTATACATATAAACCTTCCTCTTCAATCACTCTATCTATTTAAAAAAACCGCATCAAAATCCCGTAGTTCTTTGCGTAGCTTTAAAGATTGAAGCATACATAGGGACAGACAGATATAAGGACAGACAAAGCGACTTTGTTTTATACTATGTAGTGATATAGTCAAAAGTCGAAGTTCCGAGAATATGAGTCACAGCGTTGACAAGGTCGGGTATTTTCTACTCGAGTGGAGATCTCAGAATTAGCAGACGCGTTGATAAGTAATAACGCGCTGATAAAGTACACAGGTTCGGTAAATTTTATTGAATTTAAATAGTGACAAAATGAGATTGTTAAGAAAATTATACTGGAAATACAAAAATTATTGATAGAGTAACGAAAACAATTCAAGTGTTTTTCCGAATTGAATTTAAAGTGTTTTTTGTAGCTTGCAACGTTATGTAAATTACAAATGACTATTCGGACTCTAAAAGTGTTTATTATTTAGATAATTATTTGTTACAATAAAACCTTTTCATCTTTAAATGAAGTATTAAAAATCCCTGAAATGAAGACAGCCCAAATTATCAACCAAAGCAAGTCTTGTAACAATTAAATAATTCAAAATAATGAACAATCAAACAACGTGTTTTATCAAACAGCAAATCCTCTATTTACCGAAGTTACGCCTTTCAGAACAAACAAGTGACGCGTCGTGATATAAATTAAATCCTAAATTAAAAGTATTAAGTAGAAGAAAATAAGAGAGATGGAGGCCAAAGATATACTCAATAATTCAATGGAAAAAGACTCTTTGAAAGCTCAAATGGAATACGACGAAATAGATAAACTTTACGATGAGTGCCTAAAATATTTGAAAGAAGCCAAAATAGACGTTCAAGAAGAAGACCAAGCTCAACACGAAGACCAAGTTCAACAAGAAGAAGACATAGAAGACCACGAAAGAATAAAAGAAAATAGTGCTAACTCTAGAAACTCGACAGAAACACCAAAAACATCTATCAAGTTGGAAAACGAATTGAATTCCACGGGCAGTCTGGTTTCTGTAATTTCCGAACCAAAATCTGAGAGACTAAGGAAGCTATCGCAGCAGCTGCCTAAAATTATAATCACTCAGAGTAATACAAGTTTGAACTTTAAAAATTTAGAGGAAGCAGTCGAAATTCCAGTTAAAATAGAGAAGAAAAAGATAAATAGGTAAGTTTTATTCAACTTTTTTTTTGTCAAAGATTTCCTAAAGAAAATTTAAAAATTAAAAACACCAAACAATTATATAATAAACTAGCTGACCCGGCAAACGTTGTTTTGCCTTAAATAAGATTTCTAGGGAATTTCTAGTGTATAAAAAAAAACTAACTTATTGTAAGTGTGTAAGGATGTGGTAAATGAGTGAAAGAGGTATGTAGTGCTGTGAACGATGAGGGAATATATAATAAAAATAACAAAACCTCATTCAACCATATAATACCTCATTATAACAAAAAAAAAGTCCAAATAAAAAAAATATGTTAAGAGTGGACAACCCTAATCACTTAGGGGTATGAAAAATAGATAGTAGCCGATTCTCAGGCTTACTGAATATGCATAAAAAATTTCATGAGAATCGGCCAAGCGGTTTCGGAGGAGTATGGGAACGAACATTGTGACACGAGAATTTTATATATTAGATTGTTATAAATGAAACTATCGCACTTGCCATAAACAGATATGGATACAGATACAGAACGCAGATGTATCTACTCATTTTAAACAACATTTCTTTATCGCAAAAATTGTTCGTAAACACGTTTTACTTGTAATTATGCACTTGGCATCAGTACCGAGAGGGGTACCACTAGTACCTGTCACAGAATTCCACCACCATGCAGTCCCACATGTCGATATAGCTGCACCAGATGACTGTTTGCTAGTAGACCTAAGCCTTGCAGGAAAAAGTAGATATTTAAATCTAATCGTATAGTTTGGATTAAGCAATTGACATTCTATTTTGTTAGACAAATCGATGAAATAGTTATCTGGGTGTTGGCACTGACACTTGTACGAGGTTTTCTTGGATTCTTGATGAACATACGATATCATAAAG